TCAGGTATTATTTAGGATTACATGAGACAAGGCGTTTATGCATGGATACTTGCATGTCAGTAATCTTTATTGATACGTGACATAATATCTTTGTAAACCCTCTTCTATTTGTAATTTATAAGCACATAGAATGTTAGTTTACTAGAATTATACTTAGTAGAAAAATCCATTTAACAATTAAAAAGGGTGATTTACGCCACTTGAACGATTCTCTTTCAACTCAAAAGCTAGGAGCAGACACACTTGCAACAGACGTTTTACAACCAGCAATGGTTTTGTGGGAGAATTACAAAGGGAAATGATATTTTTACTCACTCCTTAATACCACACTCTTTTTTGTTTGCGACATAAAGTCGACGGCGCAAAATTGTCAGATAGACAATATAGATGCAGCAATAACGGCAGAATTAATGTTTATAAAATAATTTGCATGCTATACTTTCTTATTCATTTCTTTCAAGGTACCGTTTCTTGCAATTATTTGAATAAAAATATGTTTTAAGCTATGAAAACTGATAATACAGGAATTCGAACATGCAACGTTTGTCGATTTGCAGAATTTCGATCAATTCGTTTCAATTACTTTATAAATTTTCTGCAGCTTTTACAATAAAAACATTCTTTATAACTGCTTTTGTGCAGTCAGTTTGTGTTTTTTTATTATCTCCGAACATAACTAGATTGTGATGACAATAGTTTACAGCAAATTGAAACGAATTGTTGATTGATAGTTGGCGAATTCAATTTGAACAATGGATACGCCGAATCTAATATTTCGTTTCATAATAAAACGGTCTATCACTTTTTACAAATTAGGGTATACATTTAAGCACTGCAGTGCCAGATTATTTAAGAGCCGGGGGAATAAACATTTTCCGATATTTGCTGACAAAGGATGCGGGGGTTATATATCTTTTGTACGATAAAACAAATTGCAAATATTAAAATGTATATATCTGTTAAGTCATAAAAGTGGAAAAAACTCGTTGGTTCATAAATGATTAAACTCTTCATAATACTTAAACGCATCCTTTTACGTGTAGGAGGAAGAAATTTTGCTCCTTCGTGTGTCTCCTTCACGTATCACTGGAAATGATATGGATTATATTCCCACAAGATAGCATACAAAAAACATAAAAAAATAATTTAAGAAACAAATACAGTTGAAGGATCTGTTTGTAATGTCCAAAAAATAGCTTGAATCGAATTTAACGTTTTGACTTTTACTGACAGATATCAGAAGTAAATAGCAGCAGTATGTACGAATGGTGACTCTAACGAACGCTGCTTTTATTTTACACAAATATTTTATAATCAATTAACCTTTTTTTATTTTATAATCAATTGACCAGTTTTTCTGGCAAATTCTTAAGGTTAGTGAGAGGGGCCCAGTTTTTTTTTCCTTCTTAATTTTCATATTGCATAATCGTATATTTATTAAAACCCAGTTGGTTTTATTAAATATACGATTATTGAGACTTAACCGCATAATTATTTTAAGTTACTGTCACGCGTAAATATCTACTATAAGCTACTAAAATAAGTGAGTACCTAAATAAACTTTTAGTGAATTCTCCAAACGAATTTATGTATTTAGTCTCAGGTAGCCAATAAAAGTTAATAAATAAATAAAAAATAACGTAAAGATGTTTAATTACTTTAAAATAAGTAGCGTTTTTTATAATGTTTTTTATTAAGTAAAAAGATACTTGGGGTATGGCTGGCTCATCCGTTATAAATTTTTTTTATTAACTACAGTACATTAATATAAAATAATAAAAAAGTAATACATTGTCAAGTCTAATGGGAGAGTGTTTTAGAATAACAGAGTGTGCTGAAGGTAGTATTCTGCTGTACGAGAGTGAAAGTTTATCAGGCAGTGAGTTCTAGAAGGGATTGAACTTGTTCATAGTTCACCTATTAAAACCATTCTATTAAACCTTTGTTGCAATTATGGCATTTCATTGGGTTGTTATTTATTTTCATATTAATTAATTGTATAAAATATGAATTGAATATGGATTGAAAAAAAATATATAATTTCACCATGTCAAGATTTTATGCTCACAATTCTGAATTCGCTGTAATAACGCCTGAATAATTTAAGTCTTAATATGGGCACTTTAAAATTTTAAAGCCGTAATGTTTGTTTTTATACGAATAAAGTATTACAACCGGAGCTGGAGCGCAACGGGGTATTATCTTCATTAAGTCGGGATGAGCTACTTAAAAACAATTTTCGTCAGCTGGCGCCGATTCTATCTATTTTAGAAAAAACAGGTACATTTTACGAGGTTTTAGTACATCATATTTAAAAATAAAATTAAACTTTTTCTCTATGTTTATTTATACCTCCTTTTGCTTGTTAGGGTTCCGTACCCAAAAGATAAAACGGAACCCTATTACTAAGACTCCGTCTGTCACCATGCTGGATCTCATGAGACGTGATAATTAGGCCGGTTTTTTGTCTGTATTTAACTTAAAATATGTAAAATCAGTTGATCGGTCCAACTTTCGATTTTATGTTTAGTCTGTCTTAGAAGTGACAAAGTGGTGAATAAAAGTATAGAAAAAGACACTAAACATTTCGCATTTTTCGCTTTCAACAATAACGCATCCGGAACGAAGCCCGGAGCAACGGAATTGAATGTAAATATTTGCGGTAGGAATTGAATGCGTTGGCCATAGTCATTCGACGGCAGCAAAAATTCACGGTTCCGCGCCGAATCGAATGACAAACGACAAATTTGATTGTGAAACGATATCGTAATACGATTTTAAACGATAAAAGCGGTCAAAGCTTATGAATGTAACGTTTAAGAAATTGATCTCATTCTACAAAGTTATTGCAGTTATATTAGTCTGATGGTATTTTCAATTTATAAGCGAATATGACAATGCTAAGATTATTTATATAAAAAATACGAATTCCCATTTCTTAGAGCTTAGTAAGTTTTTAGCTAAATGTGCCTTAAATATAACATTTTAAGGATTATACAAACCTTTCCGGGGTTATATAACATTAAATTATAAAATAGCGTTTACGACGTCATACCTCCATACTACATAAATATATGAATCAGTTTAATATGACATAGTAAGTTATCTATGTAATATACGCTATTACGTTTTCGCTTATTAACGTGTTATTGTCATGCTATAATTGAGGTCATGGATGAGATTATGAGTATTTTAATGCCAATTTGCAAACTGGAAAACTTACTCACTACAACAGTTCTCGTAATTACTTAATCAGCGTGGTACAGTCCGCAAACGTTAAAACGGTAACATCCTTGAAAAAAAATATATTTATTGATTTTATTTAAGAAAAGAGAGGTATAAAAACATCATAAAGATTAGAATACAAATATTTTAATATCAAAACACGAACCCATTCCAACCTAAGCAGTTCATGGAAGCCCGTTCATAGGTGTATAGTTAAATCAATAATCTCCTTGCTATGAAAAAAAAATAAAGGAAAACAAAACTGCGCGTGTGCTTGTGTGTGTGTTTGTGTGTGTGTGTGTGTAAAAAAAAGATTGAAAAAAAATTGTTGTAGGTATATAACAAATATTTTTTTTTTTTTACGATATAACATATATATAACAAATATTAACACGTTAAATAAACTCCTCTCCACATAATTATGACCGAACGCGTCATTAGCTTTTGGAACGGGTTAACCGAGATAAAATTTATCTACGAACTGTACATAAACATTAAATACTTACAATCGGAGCAGTTGATTGACCGCAAACTGCCGTCACACGACGTGCCCGGGAACAGAAGGCGTGCCGATCGCGAATCAAAGTAATTGTTGCGGAACAAAACTGGAGCTAACCGCGTACAAAATCATTGAAAACGACCCGATAATTTCTACACTCGTTGCACTTGTCGCAATATCCTGCCCTCTAACTTTTGACCCGGCAAATATATGAGCCGCGCTCATTTTCCCTGTTAGCGAGCGCAAAGCAGAACGTTCCATGATGCTAGCGAAAATAATACTTTGCCTTGTAACATTCAAATGTGTGACGTCACAACTGAACGGCGAATTCTGGTGGTTGAACAGCAAACTGGCGCAGTTGAAACGTGTGGAACCGCCGCGACCCAAGTTCGATGATATCAGTGAGTTCGACACCGACGAAACTGCGAAAGTCGTGTTTAAGGATAACAGCGTTGATACAGACGAGCCCCGAAAATATGCTGATACAACAACAGCTAAGACTGAAAACTCTGAGGCGGTTATTTATTTCAGAGACGACAGTAAATTTACAAGACAGCTTCATACAAGTAAATCTGATAATAATGAGGTCCAAAATAATTTATTTGACAATTTTCGTGGACATGAAGATAATGTAAAAGAAAATAATGAAGACCTGTTTAATTTTGTTTTTCCTAATGAGCAGAAATTTTAAAAGATAAAGCTAAAAATGTCGTACTTAATTCAGCGAATGGAGCGGAAAAAAACGAAAATAAAAACATAATTTTAAATGATAAAACTACATTTGACGCAGAACAAGAAAGTTCGTTATCGGAGAATATTTGCACTTATATGAAGGAAGCCGAATGTAATCACCGCAATGGTTTCCATTATATTGCAGACAAGTAAGTGAGTTTTTTTTGGTTTCCTTATTTTGATTTTTTTGATTAAAGATTCACGTTTATGTATTATTTCTAGATCAAAATCATTAAAAAACTGTGTAAAATATGAACGTATATGTTGTATATTGCCATTGCGTCAACAGAAATTATCGAAAATAACTTTTCCTGATAATCACAATCGCATGAAACGGTCAGCAAATGAACAAAACATAAGTTTATCTCTCAAGCAAAGGAACACTCTAATGCAAAAAAAGTATGGCTCACAAACCGCAAATACGCAAGCTCCGAACTTATCTACAATGTCAGAAAAAATCGTGACATCTGACCATGAGGATATCGACCCATATTGGAATATAAAAGGTTCTAACTCCAAACATCCAGATAAACAGGGAATCTTTATGCCAAGTAATTCGCAGCAAGAATATGACGATTATTATACAGAGGAATTACCAAAACCTGGTTTAGTTGGCCTGTACTCGGATCATAGACCACCTACATGGTCTTTTATAAATGCACATAAAGGTTTTTCGTACAACAACGATGAAGTTAGTGAAGAAGAATTAGAATCGCCTGGGTATTCGACTATAGATCCAAGACAAGGTGAGAACAATTCTTCAACATGACATTCAGACATTATAATTTGTAGAAAAAAAGGACAAAAGTTTTTTGCCGGGGCGGCAATTGATCACGTGGTCCAGAATCGAGCTCATATCTGAAATTATTTTCATACACTTTTTCTAAAAAATTTAATAATTCTTATAAAATTCAATTCTATTCTAATGTATGTAATCTAATTTAACACATGATGACTCCGTGGCGCAGTTAACAAAGTATTAGCTTCGATGTCGCTGTTTATGGGTTCGATTTCCACACGGTTCAGGTCCACGTGAAAGATATATTTGTAAAATGTCCATACAACACAGGTTAATGTCATCCGACAGTAACGACGAGTTAAAAAAATATAAGAACTAAGCCAAATACATATAAAACTAATTTTTATTTCATAAACTAGCTACTACTTTTTTGTAGATAAATAAACAAAACCTTTCGAGGAGCGGGATTCGAACCTGCGTCTTCTAGTTTCACGCCCAACTTAGCTACTAAGCTAAGCGACCGATGACCTCACGGCGCGAAAATCTTGAAATCTACGTTCGCTCTGTCTTATTAAAATGCCTGTCGCCATTTTGTGCCGTCCTCCAGGTTATATACATTAACTTTTACAGATTCAATTGCAGACGCCCCTAGCACAAAACGCAGGCTTTTAAAACTAAAAACCAGCTCAGAAGACCTCTTTCCGGAAAGCCAAACTGTCAGTTACCACTCGAACCCCGATTTTCAAGTGTTACATGGATTCAAACTTCCTAATTTAATGCCGAAAATAAAATTTCATCCTATGCGTAATTTGAGAAAAAAGTCAGCCACAGAACCGAATGGACATAGTGGTGTAGTGGAAACCCATTACGAATCGTATATCGACAGCGATTATGACGATTATATCGGAATCAAAGAGGAATTGTACAAAGAATGCGGAAGAACAAAAGATGAATATTTCTCAAGTCGCAATTGTGGTATGTTTTTAATACACATATACGATATAAGACCTGTGGTAACTGTGATGATGTCAGGATTTAAATAAAATTTTATTTGCGAAATAAAGGTTAGGCTATATCTTATGAATGCATGTGATGTAAATTACTGTGTAATAATTTACATCGCTATATTCTACCCATTTTACAAGGTGCCCAAAAATATTACGGTACATTACTAAAAGGTCGTAGGTTCGTATACATGCTTTAATGTCTGAATTTTAATAACCATGATAGAATGAATATAAAAGTACCTAAAACTCAAAACTTATAGATATTTTTTTTAATTCATTTCAAACTGGTAATTTCATTATTAAGTGCTAATTTACCACATTCTTGGGGAACCTTGGCTATCCTTAAATAAAAAAATAATATTTAGAAGATATTTAATGTTTCGCACTGGTGTCATGACTTTGCCCTATCCAGAAGTCTTTAGACCAGGAGTCGTACATTATCCTTACTAATGTTATAAAGGCGAAAGTTTGTATGTATGGATGGATATTTGTTACTCTTTCACGCAAATATTACTGAATAAATTTTAATGAAACTTTACAATAATATGGGATATATATCAGAATAAGACATAAACTATAATTTATATATATATTTTATGTATATCTGTCTTTCTGCCTGAATGTTACGCCTTCAGCCTATTCTACGCAGACGTAGTCGCGGGCAGCATCTAGTACGTTTATAGGCCCACTTTATTATATGTACGTAAATTTAAACAATGAACAATGTTTATAATATTTTTTGTAGACGGAGAACTTGGAGAAATTACTAAAGGCACCCATCCCTGGCTCCTGCTTGCAGTGCTAACTAAAAACAAGCAAAGTATTCTTTGCTATGCAACCCTTATACATCCACGCGCCGCCATCACCGCTGCAGACTGTACTTACGGGTAAAAATATAAGGAAATAACTGATATGCCAATCTAAAGGCCAACAGCTATTTCTGATCGCGATTCCCAAATTCATTTGGGTTCAGAGAACCTAGTTTTGTGTCATGTCAGTGCGAATTAGAGGTTAAGGTCACTATTGCTTGTGTTTACATTATCCAGCGCCAGTACAACTAATAGAAATAAATCACACACATCGACACTGCCAGACTTGTTTATTCCAGTTATCTTCTATCCACAGCATCTTGTCTTACGGCATTTTGTTGTGGGGTAGTGCATCTGATATAAATTCTATATTTATTCTTCAAAAAAGAGCTTTCCGAGCAATCTCTAACATCGGAGCCCGGAATACACTGAGAGACCTTTTTAAAGAGATTAATATATTCACGCCCGGTTTCTGAAACACTGATCAACGTAGATGTCAATTAATCAGCTGTCAAATGAATTTCAAATTTCATTTTAGTTCCCAAAAGGATGTTTAAACTCTTTGAATTGATCATTCTGATCATAAAGAAGATCATTCTGGTCAATTCAGAGAGTTTAACCATCCTTTTGGTACCTAAATTGTAATTTGAAATCCATTTGACAGCTGATTAGTTGACATCTACGATGATCAGTGTTTCAGAAACCGGGCGTCACTGTTGCGTCTCAATATATTTATTGTAATATTTTGTATGTTAAACATAATATTAATAATTATCTAAAGAATAGTGACAGAAACTAGAAATAAGAACAAACAATCTACGCTAATTGTTTCGTCTACAAAAAATAAAAAGGGCGTTCATGGGGCCAAGTGTGCGCATGTATAATAAAATCCCACAGTCGATATTAAGTCTGCCACTTGATGAATTTAAACGAAAAGTTAAAAGTAAATTTATGGCTAAAGCATATTATACTATTGCTGAATATCTCAATGACGCCAATGTGTGGAGTTAATACTGTTGATACTCACGTAGGTAAACAAGACTATTATAGTACCTGTAACATTATATTGTAAAATGACCTTTTAAAAAAGAGCAACTGTTGAATTTCTCAACAGAACCTGCTTTCCGAACCGGTGGTAACTTACGAACATATTAATTTCCTTATAAAATTTCGACGTTTCATAAGAACGCGCAAGCGTCTATGTGAATAAAGATATTTTATTATTATTATTATTATTAAAAAAAATTCGGGATGCAAATAAATTGTTTTATGAAATCTCTATAAACCTTTCTTTTTGAAAGATTTAATGCAACAATTTCCTCATCATAATATTTTGGTTTACCCATTCATACGACTTGGGGACTTTCAAGAAGAGAGCCTATTCCTTCCACAAAGACCGGCAACTCGTTTGTGACTTCTCTGATGTTTCGAGTGTCCATGGGAGGCGGTGAACTCTTACCATCAGGTGGCTCGTCTGCTCGTTTGCCTTCTTATTTAAAAAAAATTCTTCCTAGCTTTTGACATATAAAATTTTAATGTTGTATCTAAATTAAAAAAAGAAACCAATAGTGTTTATAAATGAAATTTCATCTTAATGAATAGACTCATCGATTGCAATTCCTCGTTATTACATTTTCTGATCGTCGTTTAATATTCCCTTTATCGTATGTCTACAGGATCGCTCCAGGCGAAATCACTATCGTCGCCGGTATGTGGGACCTGAAAGGTGATAATGGAGAGCAATTTCAACAGCGCTTAGCCTCCGTCCATTCACATCAGCAGTACTTACCCGGAAAGTTAGCTTATAACATTGCTTTGTTGGTAATTCCTGTTTTATTATATTATACACTATTATATCTATAAAGACAAATAAAATTGGAATGTCTATTTGTAATATTAAAAAAGCCGCTTTTTACTAAATTCATTTATGGATGTATACGCGGTACATAAAATAACATTTTTTCAATTTTTGTCTGTCTGTCGATTAATCTCTGAAACGGCTACACCGATATTCACGGCGGACGTGGGCACAGCTAAAACAATAAAAACAACTAAAACGGACGGAATAAATCTCTCGTAGACTTTCTTCTTCATTTTATATAAAACAATGATAAATACTTGGGGACGCCGTTGCTAAGCCATTAGCTTCGGCGCCCGGAATCGTGGGTTCGATTCTCACATGGGAAAAGTATTTATGTGACCCACAATTAATTTTTCCGGATCTGGATGTTTGTTCCCATGGATTGTAAGGCAGGCGAACGGTGGTAATAAACCTAGGCAGTCACGAACATATGAATTACATGTTGGGGTCGCACAACATTTAATTCATATGGTGACAAGACAGAAGAAAGTAGAAGATCCACTGATAAATACATGATTCACATTCCAGTATTGGAGGCGTCCCCTTAGATTGGATGCAATGGTACGGCCGGCGTGCATTTCGGACGCCAACGTCGATGACGACTGCGTATTTGTTGGATGGGGTGGATACGATCAAGGCAAGTATGCTTCTTCCTCGCACTCCCATAGCACCTTTCCCCTCGCCTGTCAAGGACATATGCTCGCCAGAACCCTCTGTCATTGCACCTACCTTCTTAAAATCGCTTAGAGAAACACATATATAAATTTCAACTTTACAGAATAAAGTTTATTTTAATTCATATACTACACACCTTTCGGTCCATCTGTTAGGCACTTGTGGTGATTCAAAACGCCTGTCAATTTTTTTGGAACTTCTCAATGAATAAAACAAAATCATATGAAAATTTCAAGCTTACAGGAGCAAGTTTTTTTATTATTATTTTATTTACACTTTCGGGTTGATCACGTGAATGGCTGATGCGCGCCAGGCGATGGTTACCGTGCTTAGTATGCTATGACTATAAGAATTTCTAGTCTTACTAGCTCTCCTACTTTATGGGATGTAACTATAAATCGCACGGGTACTGTTAATTTATAGACGAATCACATTGTTATCAATTAAGTTAGTTATAATCCATCATTTTGGATTATAACTAACTTAATGAAATAACTTAACAGGCATTCGACAACGGCCCCAATGGCAACGCGCAACCATTTTGTCGCCTCGAAATTGCGATGAAAGAATTTCCACAAATCAAGAGTTTGATCTCCCCATCGATGCGTTCTGCGCTATAGTTAACTCGAAGACCACTGTCGTAAGAATGTCTAACCGTTATCCCCAATATATCGTTTACACCTCCACCGGATTGAATTAAATATTAGATTCGTTATTTGAACTAAATAATATGTAAACTTAACAAATATGGCAGAGGCCTACGTTCAGCAGTGGCTACGTAAAACTAACAACCTACACAAAAATCTAAAACGAAGCTGCCAGCTTTGATTAATAAAGCTAGTTAAAAAGCTAGATAAAAATAAAAATCCCACTTTTTTTAAATCAACAAAAAGTATCCGATATTTTCATAATTACAAGTTGCAAAATTTTTTCTATTTTAAGACTGGCCTGGGCGGACCTTTGATGTGTCAAACTGACGGTAAATACTCTGTGGCGGGCTTTGCAATTTGGCGAGACGAAATTGTTGTGCTGATGCGTGCGCGAGAATGGACTATACGGGCACTGGTCGCTTTGGGTATAAATTGATCGAAGGTAAGGCTCAATATTTATATATAATTATTTAATATAATTCTTCTGCACTTGTGCTCCTAAAAGGCTGGTGCTCCTAAAAACCAATTTTGATGAAATTTTTTGTGTGTGTGTTCAAGTGGATTCGAGAATGGTATGGATTCACAATTCGGTCCTATACAAAATGTTTTTTAATATTTTTTTTATTTATAAGTTGTCGGATTTAAGACGTGTCAACAAGACAGGAATATGTAATAAAACACAATTCATTTCATTTATAATATATTTAACACGATCATAATGTTTATATTCTCTAAACCTGTGACCAGCCTCAGTTTAATATCAGAATATCGTAATTATAACTTAGTTTAGTAACGATGCATATTTCACATAAATAAAATGTTTAATTAACAATATTTGAATACTATAGCACGGCTTAAATTAAAAATACGATTGGCTAGGATAAAAACATAAGAATAACGCAGCATTACGATTTCTAGGAACTAATTTAAATACAAAAAGAAATTATGTATCTAGGTACTAAAATTGGGAATGTCGAGATCTACGGGGGCTACAATAATTTCTATTAATAATAGTTCAACACATTACAATAATTATATAAATAATCTAACATTGTACTTCCGTAGTGTACATGGGAATCTTTGGTGTCGAACTTGATTTTAACGAAATTAGATGAGCACCTACATCAAGTAGATTGCTGATGCAAGATTTAATAAAAAAAAACAATTATCAAACTAATATCTTCGTAAAATAACGCAACTAACAAGTCTTTAAATTTACTGTCCGCTCATGTGAGCTTATGTTTCACCATATCCATATTTTACTAATGAGCAAATTTCCACAGCAAAATTAAAACAAATATTTTTCCGTCTTTGATAATGTTATTTATACCTTTTCAATTTAACAATCATCATAATATCTTACTGAATCTATAATACTAGTAAACTATACTAGAATGACACAGATTTATTAACAATTTATTTCACAATAACTAAACATGGAAAAATAGGTCACTCTAATTGCTTATTTTATTTAACACAATGAAGGGATAATATGACTGAAAACAACTGAAATTAGCGAATCTTAGGAAATATAATAGCTGAGCAGTTTTGTGAAGCATATAATATGTATGAAAAAAACACATAATACACATAAATATTAAGTTAAATCATTTAAAAATCAAAAAAAAATCAAAAGGGACCTATCAGATCAGAGGTCATCTAACAATAACAGGCGTCATTCATCTACAAAAATTTAACATTAGCTACATAAGATTCCAAGACTACAGCCGATTAAAAAACTACAACTAAAATTGAGATAGTCTAAATTCATTGCGTTTCTTGAAATTTAACATAAATAAATATAAATACTAAAAAAAAATGACAAGATATCGTTACATCACAATTACAGGTTCAAGCGATAACAAGGGGTTCGTCGTCGGAGAATCCTTGTATCGGAGGTACGTCGTCATCGTCTGCAAAACAAACACAATCTATTAAGACAATATTTCAACAGAGTGGTGAAGCGATTTTTTTTTTACAATAAAGCTCATTTTGCATTACAGTATTCCTTTTTATTTATTGTTTTATTTGATGTTCACAAAAACTTGACACGAGACTGAATTGGACAAAAATAATAAATTTGAATGTGATTTTGATATGCGTGTCACACACATAAGCTATCGGATATGCGAAATAAAATTCTTTACAAAATTATAACCGCTCATATATTTTTTCTATCGGTATTTTACTTTTACAATGATTAAAAATGTAATATACGTATCCAAAACTATAAGTTAATCCGAAAATTTTCTCATCCGTAATCACAACCGACACCGGTCCGTAAAAGTTAAATAATAGAATATTTTAAAAGTTGCCCCTTGTTGGCGCCCCTATCCCGTGTTGTAAGGACGTTTTACATAGATAAATTTCACGTGGACAAATATTCAGATCCGAAACAATTATCTGTGGGTAACGCAAATAGCTGTCCCGTATGGGAATCGAACCCACGGCCACGACCCCCGGCGCCGAAGCCAGTACCAAGGCAACTGCGTCATGGAGTCATCTAAATAACGCAACAAATAGCGAATAAAAAAAATAACAATAAAAATTGACGTCTCTCATATTATAGTTATAAATATTACAGTAAAATGGAGCAAAATCAATACATAATTAATTCAAATATGAAACAAACAGGCGAAAAATAAACGAAAAGTATTGTACGCCCAATTTCAGTAAATTATGCCAGCAGCTCAGTCATACGAGTCCACGCTCACACACAGAGCATTGCGTTCATCGGGTGTGACGTCACATAAGACCACACAGACACAGAGCCTTCCGTTCATCGGGCTTGACGTCACATAAGGGCACACAGCACAGCGCCTTACGTTACGTTCGCGCCGTACATACGCTTACGTTCATCGGGCGTGACGTCACATAAGGCCACACGCACACAGAGCTTTCCGTCAATCGAGTGTGACGTCAAATAAGGCCGCACTCACACACACATGCACACACAGAGACCGTTCCGTTCATCGGCCGTGACGTCACATAAGCCCACATGCACACAGAGCCTTCCGTCAATCGGGCGTGACATCAAATAAGGCCGCACTCACACACACACGCACACGCACACACAGAGACCGTTCCGCTCGTGGGGTGTGACGTCGTCCGATCTGAAGGCGCGCTCACCGTGCTCGCCGATGGTGGCCTGGCCGCGGCGGCTGTCGTAGCGCGGCGTGTGCGCGGCGAGCCTTAGGAAGGAGCGCGAGAGGCGCCGGTGGCGCAGCGCCGCATGCACCAGCGCTCCGCCCAGCGCCACCGCCACCACCAGCGCCGCCGCGCAGCCCCACCACACCGCGCCCGCGCTCACCGACTCCGCCTCGGCGCCTGCGCACACACGGACGGTTAGTATTTAGCTGCCAAGATGGCATTGCCTTCGCATGTCGCGTCGCAGCGTGAGCGCAGCTTTTGCTTATCTTGACCATGATTAATGCCTGGTTAGTACATTCAACGAACGGCCGTTAGTTACATAGCTTCGTAACTTTCCCAGCTTCGGCCGTTGCACGAATGGGCACGTGCGTCCGAGTAAGTACCACGGTCTCTCAGAAGACCGGCGTGATGTGAATGCATTAAACTTTCGCGTTTCGTCCGGCGAGTGAGGTAACCGGGTCCCACTCTTTCAAAGATTGTCAACGCATCCGCAAACCCTCGGTTCATGTATTTGTCCTTAGGCGGCGGTATTCACTCAACATCAGGTGAACCGCCTGCTAGCTTGACAACTTTACACATAAAAAATAACAAGTCCATTTTTAACGAAAAACAAAACTGACTTCAAATATCTCTCTCCGTATTCATTTTATAATTGATTATAAGGAGTTCCCTAAGTATCCCCGCAGGCCAAGATCCAATACCAATTAAATGTATATGAGACCACATGGTTCAAATAAAAAAAGAATCATCAAAATCAGTTGACTCATTCGAAACTTCTGAGGTAACAAACATAAAAAAATACAGTCGAATTGTCGCCTCCTCCTTTTTTGTAGTCGGTTAATAGTTAGTTCAACCGGTTTTTCCCGTCGTCCGTCGTAGTCACACAACGCACCTTCCATAGTGAGAGTGTTGACTTCGCTGAGGTCGCTGAAGTAGCCCTCGGGCGTGACGGCGCGAACGCTCACGTAGAGCGGGCCGCTGGAGCCGCTGGGCACAGTCATCAGCAACGGGGACCTTTCCGCTTCCTCGACCCTCATCTCCTCGGTCGGATGCAGCAGGTCTTCAGGTATCTCCTTCTCGGACACTATTATTTGGTATTTGTGCCTGAAAACAAAATTTCATGTTGCACATGCGGCGCAATGGAAGTGGTTGTATAGTTCGTGCTCCCTTATTTAGGAATAATTATTTTTAATATTTCGATAAATAATATAATTGTGGTAGAGTCACGCAGTAAACTCTGCTATTATACAAATGGGTCGTCCAGGGTCGTCTGGGGAAATAACATCACACATGCATAAATTTTTAAACATATACAGTGTGTACAGGACATAGACTTGTGTACAAGATAAAGGCGGCAACGCATTTTTGGCTCCACCAATGTTGCAAGTGTCTGTCCATGGGCGGTTATCGCTTAACATCAGGTGACCCGTTTGCTCTTTTGCCACCTTCTAACGAAAAAAAAAACCAAAACTGGCTAGCGCGTGGTCGCGATCGCGCACGAATGGTTCCCTACCATTTACTATAAAAACGACAAAAAAATCATGTCTCTTGTAGGGGGGGGCGGGCCCCTTAAATATGTTTCTATTTTACTTCTTTTTGTATTTGTTGTTATAACCGCAACAGAAATACATCATCAGTGAAAATTTCAACTGTCTAACCACGGATCACGAGATACGGCCTGGTGACAGACGTACAGACAGAGAGACAGCGGAGTCTCAGCATCAGGGTCCAGTTTTTCTTCGGGTACGGAACCCTAAAGAGGCTTTGAAAGAACTGACTTGACGGACGGACGGACGGACAGACAGACGGAGTCTCTGCAGTAACAGGGTCCCGTTTCACCCTTCGGGTGCGGAACCCTAAAAAGAAACCGACTTTGGCGCGTCGGCCGCCTCCTCGTGTTGCCAGTTGAGCACGAGGTGGCCGTTCGGCGCCAGCCAGGCGACGAGGCCGCGCGGCGCCGCCACCTCGCCTGTGCGCGCGTCCACGCAACGCCGCGCCGCACCCTCCACGTGGGCCTGCAACAATCGACGACAACACCATCATCCTCCTGCCGATACGCCTACACGGGGTCGCCACAATATGCAGGGTGATTTTTTTACACGAAGTACATTCTTTGACATAATGTTAATTGGCCATTCCATTATTCTAAAAAAAATTTTCAAAAAAAAAAAAACACCCAGATCCGGAGCAATCATTTATGGGTCACTGGGAATCTGGCCCGAGACCATCATAGTCATGAAATAACACCATCGATGTAGGAAGAAAATATCGTCATGTTGCCGACATGCTATTTTATTTATTATGCTATTTTCAAAATATGTTGAGAATTAAATTAACTATAATTAACCTCTAAACTAAAATTTCTTCTAGACATTTCAACTTAAATAAAATTATGAGGTTTAGATTACAGAAATTAACATTAAACACTTACGTAGACACAGATGTTGTAACGCCCGCCGACTGGCACATTCTCGATGACGTGCTCCAGCGACGAATTTTTGGTGGCGATTAACTCATAACGACTCATTTTGTTCCTTGTTTCTTCCATGAGCTCCAACTGAAAAGGTTTGTAGGTACACGATATTTATAACATTTCTGGACAGTGTGAGAACGCGATGCTTAAGAAAAAAATTAAATAACTCTTACCCTGTACGATACGGCCTCGGTGAGAGCGTTACAGTTAATGTGCCAATAAATCCTTAGTCGAGACGTCTTCTCGTCGTAAGAATAATCAAGGTCCTTTATAGGGGCCCTGGAAAGAAGTTATATTCCAAACATACACGTTATAAAATCTAAATTCAATATAATTAATTTATTTAATTAAATTATATAATCAAATTTACATTTTTATAGTGATTATATCTGCACTTAAGTTGCAACAATACAAATGCACGAAAACTTACAAACATCAACAATTGTATACATTTTCATCAGGACCACACTAGTTCTTTAACTTATAATAATCCACTTACTTGGGATTCTCTCTGGTCACGATCTCTTGGTATTTAGCGAGCGGACCTCGGACAAGGCCCACTGTGAATACGTAGCTCTCGCAAGCGTGAAGTCCTTCTATTAACATGCTGGTATTCTTCGTCACTATATGCATCTCTGCGGAAAAGATAACAATTATTTTAACATTGCTAGGTCTGTGGTAGAGGCCATATGCTCAAAAGTGGAATCTAGCGGACTGACATGACTACGTTGAAAAGATATCAAATGCATAGTGAACAACATTTCGATCGTTAGTTTTGAGGAAAGAATATTTCTATTTTAATCTCACTAGGTCTGTGGGAGAAGGCCATGCACTACAGTAGACTATAGCAGTGCTTTGGATGGTTTTGGATGCTTTACACGTGGTAGGACCACGCAACAGTATTTGCTGTTGCACGAATGGGCAGGTCCGTTCGGGTTAGTACCACGACTTCACAGAAGACCGGCGTAAAGTAGAAGTGTAACAAGTTCAGCGTTTCGTCTGGTGAGTGAGGTAGCCGGGGCCCACTTTATTAAAAGGTGACAAGGCATCTGCATCCCTACGGGTGTTGCAAATTTCCATGGGCGGCGGTTTTCTCTTAAGATCGGGTAAAACGCCAGCTCGTTTGCCACTTCGTCACATAAAAAAAAAACTCTAAGCTGGTCTGCGGTTATATGGAGAGATATATATCAACTGCGTAACACACATTTCGATCTTTGGCCGTTAGTTTTGAGAACGGGCCATAGCTTCTTTATATATATAATTCTCTTGTACGTGTGTATGTCACTGAACTCCCAAACGACTGAACCGATTTTAATGAAATTTTTGTGAGTCTTCAGGTCGATTCGAGAATGATTTGGATTCACAATTCGTGTCACAATTTTTTATTTTTATTTCTAAGTTGTTGTCGGATTTAAGTCGCGTGTACAGAACAGCGCCTGTTGGGTCCACTAATAATATATAAAGTCATTGGTGCTAGTTGAAAGTTAGGCGTACCGTGGACCTCAGCCGGTCTAAGGTCTAAGGTTTTTCCTGCCTGTCGTAACACGGACTGGCAGCGGTATGAAGTGGCCTCGAGCTGTTGCGAGATGGTGAGGGAATCAAAGTTTAATCTTAGGAAATGAAAGTTTATCCTTCTCCGAGTCGTACTCACACACGTGCGTCATAGCGAGGGACACCGGTGCGTTCCGTAGGAGATCCCGGAGTCCCTCCAAACGTAGATGGTCACCGCGGGGGGTTTTAGTGGGTACGAATCCCACATAACCCTGTCATGTGATAAGTGACGGGTTGTCTTAAAAAAAATGCTCACCGTGGGCCTGTTCCAGATCGTCGTGTATCCGCCAGTGGGAGGCGTCCGTGTATATCACCTCGTACTGCAACTCCTTGCCCTTGTAGCGGTCGGCGAGCGGCGGCGACCAAAGAAGTTGTACCGAGGTGCGTTTCTCCTTCAGCAGGATCGCGGTCAGGTTCAGCGTCTCGTCGGGGATTCCCTCGGTGCGGTGGGTGATCGTGAACGGCTCCCCGTTTACGGAGCCCTTGTACGCCATTATGTGGATGTACACCTTGATGCCAGACGGCAGGTCCTTCACTGCGGGCGGTTTTAAGGGTGGATCTATTTTTATTTGTCTACCACATTTGTTTTTAGGGTCAAGTAGAAACTGAAACTCAGACTGTTTAGTGAACCGGTGGTAGTTTTTGACGTTCAATAAGAAATAACTAATAAATAATATGACGTTCAATAAATTGTTAAAATAAGCCTATTTTTTTTTTTCGGTGTGAATTCGGCGTGAAGTGCAAATACTTCTGCGTTTCGTCTGGTGAGTGAGGTAGTCCGGGGTCCACTAATCTACTTTATTAAGAGGTGGCAACGCGTCCGCAACCCTGCGGGTGTTGCATATCACCGTGAGCGGCGGTTATCGCTTAACATCAGGTGAACCGCCAGCTGGCCTGCCACATTCTCACTCTTAATTTTACTCTCATTTCCAAACGCGGCTTAAATAGTTTAAATTCGGCCAAATGCAAGTCGGACTTGCTCACGAAGGGTACATTATCAGGTACATTAATCAGAATTTTAGTATATATCTTACTACTTAAATGTTAAATGTATGTACTGCTGGTGACCTCTTTAAATAAATAAACAAATTATGCCTGTTGTGTGGGAGCTCCACTCAAATATTTCTTTTATCCTTTTTTTCCGTGTCTGTGAAAATTTCAACTGCCCGTCACGGTTCATGATACATAGCCTGGTCACACGGCAGACGGACAACGGGGTCTCAGTAACAGGGTCCCGTCTCACCCCATGCGTGCGGAACCCCAAAGACTACGTAGCAACGTGGCACTCACGCGTGACGTTCGTGTCGGCGGTGGTGATGGGCGCCATGGCGGCGTAGTTGTGCGGCAGCTGCAGCCGCACGCGGTAGCCGTCCGCGCCGCGCACTCTCGCCCAGCGCAGCAGCAGCGCGCCGCCGGCGGGGCTCGCGCTCACGTCGCTCAGCTCGTCCACGTCGCCCGCCACGTCGAACGTGATGTTCATCACGTCCGAGGAGGGCGACGTGAACGCGTTGTTGGTCGCGGTCACCTGGAACGGTGCGGTTGGTCGGTTGCTTGGGGCACTTGTCTAGTTGTTGTAGGCACGCGCCGATTCTAATTACTCTTCGTCTTTGACAAGGCATGAATGAGAGGTTGCGATATTTGAGCGCAAGAAAACAGAATTTGGTATGCCGAAAAAATATAGATATTTATTATTTTATATATCTGTATTTTTAGCCGATATATTTGGATTTGATTTATCGAAAATTCAAGCCCGGTAGCGTCTGTATGTGTCAAATTATTTAATACTTGACATACCTCTCTTTTGGTCAACGGGTTTGTAGAACTATATATATCGATATATTTTCTCTTCGATATATAGAGGCTGTTGAGGGTATTATAAAAAAAAGTAGTTGTCATCCTACAAGGCATTTCAATAACACAACATGGTGACAGCGGTGTGAAATAAATTCATATTTCGCGAATTTATTAAAGTATCGGTAATAGTAGTTGATAAAAGTGGATCAGGGATTCATTTGGAATGGAGCATGAAAGACCACCGCCGGAATTGTGCATGGATGGCAGCCCCGTCAGCCGGGCTGGCGCTTGGAAGAGGTGGAAGCTATAATTTCAGTTATTTTTAAAGGCCTCGGGTGTACATAAAGAAGAGGCGTCAATACAAGCTAGCTTATTAATTAACTTAATAGGCCCAGATGGATTTGATGTATTTCAAACATTCACGTTTGAAAAAGAGACAGATCGTGATGACGTTGCGGTGTTGTTAAAAAAAATTGATAACTATTTTGGAGTGAAGCCGAATATCACATTAGCAAGGTACAATTTTTTTATGAGAAATCAAATTGAAGGGAGTCCATAAATCAATACGTCACTGCGTTAAAACTGTTATCAAAAACTTGTATGTTTTCAACTTTAGAAGAAGAATTAATAAAAGATAGAATCGTGTGTGGCATAAGAAACAGCATCGTTCGAGATCGCTTATTGCGAACGGATGAATTGAGTTTAGAAAAGGCGATAAAAATTTGCCAAGCGGATGAAATTTCAACTGATAGTAGCCGTCAGTTAGAATTGCATGCTGTCGACTCGGAGCAAGCATCCATAGATGGTATTAAAGCGCACAGTCGAGAACGTGCTGTCGAAAACAAGCGATGGAACGCGAGCGGCGGTTTCACGACTCAAAGCGGCAGCGTCGCAAGCGCAGGCGCCAGCTGCGCTCGAGGCGGTCAGCGTAGGGGTGGCAACGTCGAGCGTTTCGAACGTCGAGCGCCTTGTAAATACTGTGGCAAGTATTGTGTACGGGGGAAATGTGCTGCGGCCGGTGTAAAGTGTTACATATGCGGTGGCTATAATCATTTTGCGAGAATGTGCAGTAGTCGATCGAAAAAAAATTATGACATCGATGTTCGTACTGAAAATTCAAATAGTGATAGTGAATCCTTTTTTATATCTACAGTTTTCGACTCATCTTATGTTAATAAATCAGATGATTGGTATGAGACATTAACAGGTGAATGCGGTGTTGAGCGGATATCAATGTTCTATCCTATAAGAGATTTTTGTTGTTAGGATATGATGTTAATATATTAGATGTTACGAGTAATGTTAAGCTACAATCTTACAGCGGCAACATTATTCCAATAAAAGGAATATGTTATTTAAAGTGGTGGTACAAAAATAAGCTATTTGTATTGAAGTTTGCCATAGCTAGTATTAACTGTCAGAGTGTTTTAGGTAGAAATGCGTGTGTTAAATTAGGTTTCATTAAGCGTATGCATGAAATTTGTTAAATTATAATAACTTATTTTCTGGCATTGGCTGTCTTCCTGGAATATATAGTATTGTTGTTAACAAGTCTGTGAACCCTGTAGTAAGTGCGCCAAGTAAAATTCCCTTTAGTTTGCGTGACAAGTTACTTGACGAACTGAATAGAATGATGGATCTCGGTGTGATTAGGAAAGTTAACCATCCAACTTGATGGGTAAATGCATTAGTGATTGTAGCTAAAAAAAATGGTGGTATTAGATTATGTCTCGATCCCCGGCCACTAAATTGTGCAATACAACGGGCGCACTTTCAATTGCCAACTGTTAATGAATTAGCTACAGAGCTATACGGCGCACAATATTTTTCTGTTTTAGACGCCAATTCCGGTTTTTGGGCAATTAAGATAGACAAAAAAAGTGCGGATTTGTGTACTTTTAGTACTCCGTTTGGGCGATACCAATTTTTAAGATTACCGTATGGTTTAAATTGTGCGGCTGAAGTCTTTCATTCGACACTTAAACAATTGTTAGAAGATTTAGAGGGAGTAGATGTTTTTATTGACGATATTATTTGTTGGGGTAAAAACAAAAATGAACATGATCAGCGATTGACTGCTTTATTAAACAGAGCCCAAGAAATTAATCTTAAGTTTAACAAAGAAAAATGTAAAATTTGTGTGGAGGAAGTAATTTATTTAGGACATGTTTTCAATAAACACGGTATGAAACCGGATGACTGTAAAGTAGAGGCTATAAAAATATGCCTACGCCGAATAATAAAAAGGCGTTAGAGAGGTTTTTGGGTGCTACCAATTACTTATCAAAGTTTATTCCAAATTATTCAAATCATACAGTTCATCTTACTCAATTGCTTAAAAAAGAATCTTCGTGGTATTGGGATGATACTCATGATAGAGCATTGCAAAGATTAAAAGAACTAGTTAGCAGTGCCCCAGTGTTGGCACTATTTGACGTTACGCGGCCGGTTGTTGTCTCTGTAGATGCCAGCAGCGTAGCGCTTGGTGCCGTGCTCATGCAAGACGGTCGTCCGGTCGAATATGCTTCGCGAACGCTCACTGATACACAGACTAGGTATGCTCAAATAGAAAAAGAGCTGCTTGCTATTGTATATGCACGTGAGAAATTTCACCAATACATATTTGGAAAAAAATCTGTAGTTATAGAAACGGACCACAAACCATTAGAGAGTATTTTCAAAAAAGGTTTGGTTTCCAACCCAGTACGTTTGCAGCGAATGTTACTGCGCTTACAAGGTTATGATTTAATTATTAAGTATGTTCCAGGAAAATTAATGTTTATTGCTGACACTTTATCACGTGCGCCCCTTCCCGAGTGTTATGAAAATGAATTAGATGATAAATTAATATATGAAGTAAATCTTATGATCGAACATATTCCCATGTCTGCTAATAAATATAATTTAGTGCGAAATGAAACTAAAAAAGATAAAGAATTGCCAACTTTCTGAATATATTTTAAAAGGATGGCCGGAGCGTAAAGTTGATGTATGTGATAACATTAAACCTTATTGGTCGTGGAGAGATGAATTAGTTGTTGTGGACGGTATTTTGTTTAAAAATAAATTGATATTGATTCCTTATTCTCTAAGGTTAAAAATGTTAAGTATAATTCATGATGGTCATTTTGGAATAGAACGTTGTAAGCGACGTGCCCGTGAGGTTTTATTCTGGCCTGGAATTACTAAAGATATTGAGAATTACATTAAGAGATGTAGGGTATGTCAGGAAAACTCAAACGCTCAAAGTAGAGAACCTTTAATACCTATACAGATTCCGCGATTACCGTGGAATAAAGTGAAATTATTTAATTTTGGTCGATTATTACTCTGGATTCATAGAAGTCAGTGATTTGAAAAATATCTCTTCAATCTCGGTCATAACAGCATTAAAAGAGAATTTTGGTAGGTATGGTATTCCAGAAACTTTAATTAGTGATAACGGGACGCAGTTTTCTAGTGGTGATTTCAAAAAATTTGCTCTTGAATGGGGATTTAAACATGTCACGTCACCTCCTAATTTTCCTCAATCTAACGGAAAGAGTGAGCGAGCGGTACAAACAGTAAAAAAAATGTTAATTAAGTCTATTAATAGTAATACTGCTTTTTACTTAAATTTACTAACTTATAGAAATACACCACGTGATAATAATTTGAGTTCTCCGGCACAATTGTTAATGGGGAGAAGACTAAACTGTAGATTACCAATTCATCCTAAATTATTAAAACCGAAGACAGTTAGTACAAGTGAATATGAATATTTAGAAAATAAAAAATTAAAAAGTAAAATGTATCATGATAAACATTGTAAAAAGTTACCGGAATTAGATTTAGGAGATAATGTATTAATTCAACGTAATAGCCATCAAAGTAGGGGTCGAGTTATATCCAAAGCGTCAACACCACGTTCTTACGTAGTTCAAAATGAAGTAGGCAGGACTTACCGCCGTAATCGACGGCATTTAAAAAAATGTCAAAGCGAAATTAAACATGATATAGAACCTTGTGTTCTTCAGAATCCTATTTCAAATGCCCTCAATAATTCTAACAACTGTTATTCAAATAAGAAAGGTCGAGAATTGAATGATTGAAACCTATTTCTCCTCCCTTGACCAGAAAAAGAGCAAAATTAATGCAAAAATAATATTAATTGTACTTTATTTCATTTTTTTGTTTCATCATTTTTATATTGTATTTGTTTATCTTATTTTCAGGGAAAGGGTGTATCTGTAATAGATTATAAGTTATTTTGTTTTTTGAATTTTGTTATTGTCACTTACTTTTTGTTTTTATGGGGAAGATGTTGAGGGTATTATAAAATAAAGTAGTTGTCATCCTACAAGGCGTTTCAATAACACAACAGAGGCCGACATTGATATTTTATAAATATCGATATATCGATATATTCCTTCACTTTCGACAACCCTAAACAGACTATTCATTCACACTAATAGGTAAATCAACACTCCCGACACTAGACCATTACTGCGTTTGCGAACACAATTGTTTCGATCCATCCATACGTGCGGCACCGTTCTCACTCACCCAGAAGGAGTAGTTGTTGTTCGGCTTGAAGTAACCGTTGACGGTGACGGTGACGGGCCCCTTGGGGCTGGAGACGTAGACGGTCTTCGCTATGGGGGGGATGGGGGGCGCGTAGTGCAGCGTGTAGAAGCGCACCACGCCCCTCGGCTCCGCGGGGGGGTCCCAGATGACGCCCACGCGGCTGCCCACCATCTGGCGCACGCTCACGCGCAGCGGCGGCGACGGCACTGCCATTGGTCGAAACGGGGGCGGTTAACGGCAGCCCTCCAATGGGGTCGTCCGTTAATCACGTGATATTTTTAGCAGCGAGTCAAAGGATCCAGTAATCACGTGATGTTTTTCTAGCAGCGAGTCGAGCCAAGTCGGGCTGATTTTCAGTTTAGAAATAGCGCTTTTAACGAAAATATAATAAATACACGTAATATGTCACTGCTAGGCCTGTGATATTTTGTGATTTTTGCCTAAACTGAATTTACCACGCGATTAATCAATGATCCCATAGTACTTTGAAATGTATTATGTGTATAAAAAAGCAATTTTTCTGAGATACTCCACATATTACTCTATGAACACTTTCAAAGCTCAAATATTGACACAGTTCCGGAACAAAGTCATCACAGCTTCAAAGCATGTTAACATGACAAAGATTATTTCTATTTCTGTGACCTGGGGCATATGCTATCACTGTCATTATCACTATCTGGTAGTAGATGCTACCAGATAGTTATAGATATCCGTGGATGGTGGCAATCGCATAAGATCTTCCTTCCCTTCATCTTCTCAAAAAAAAAAGAGAAAAAAGCTATGAATTTTAACAATCTTGATAAGATAATTTATACGGTAAATTAAACTTAAAAATTATGTTCATACCTCCTTCACCAGTAGTTGTGTTAACATACTTCATAGACGGATAAGTTTTATTAGATTTGCTGTCCTTAATGTAGAAAGTAACATTATAGTTTGTGAACGGCTCGAGGTTCGTGAATCTAAAAAAAATATGAAATTCATGAGAAAACGAAACCTGAGATTAGCACGCCGTTGTTTTATAATTTGATTTATAATGTTTTATTTATACCATAGTGTATTAACATCAAAAATGAAAAAAGAAAGTTTTGCTAATGAAAATGTTGCTTTTACATGTTATATTTTCGGTAGATTATTAGTGAACTAAATAAAATTTTATTAATAATTTTACCTATAAACACTGTCACTGGTCCATGTCATATTGTGCCAAATACCATCGCTTATCTTGGATATGGAAGGCAAGAAGCTGTACAGGACCATTTTCTGCTGTGCCATCCAGCAAGAGATAAGAAAACTCGTGGAGTTGATCGACGATTGGTCCACACCGATGCTCAGAAACTGTGAAACAAATATCCCAGGATTGCAACAAATAATTAAAATGAATGAGATTAATAACATACAACTAATTATCATTAAATTAATAACATATAAATAATATTTAAGTAGCTTTCACTTTTATTTTTTATTTTTTGTGTCGCCGTATTCGTAGGCAAAGACGAATTTATGTTTCACCGTGTGTTATTAGATAACACGTGTGAGTGTATGTAGTTTTGCGAGGCAAAAGACTAATGGTTATTATAATCACCACCGATTTTCTCTGGAACGGGTAGATCTAGGAAATTGAAATTTATACCAGATGCTGATACGATAAAACATATGGATAAATTTAGATTTCCGTGAAAACTTGTAAGTACCAAAATTTACGTTATTTTACAACTATTTTTTATTTTTCTTAATTTTTCCTCTATTTGTGCTGTAAGACCTTAAAAGTAAAAGTATCGCACCTGGTAGTTGTGACCAGGCTCTGGTACGCTGGAGCAGTTCGCCTCGTCGGAGCCGTCGTAACAGTCCTGGTGGCCGTTGCACACCATCACCTGCCACAGGCACTGTGTTCCGTCGTCGCACATGACCTGCTGGGACGGGCACTGCACCGTAGGCTTGTGTACCTACGAGCATAATTTGACTATTAAAATAATCCTGCAATCGTTATAATCGTCGGTCGTAAGTACCAAAAATCTGCGCAGTTTTGTCGTAGTGACACCCGTAGCGTACATACGTGGGTGCAGTGGGCCTCGTCGCTGCGGTCCGCGCAGTCGGCGCGTCCGTCGCACAGCCGGAGCGTGCGCACGCAGCCGCGCCCGTCCGCGCACTGCGTCTCGTCCGCGCGGCACTCGGGGCCCGCGCCGCCCGGCGCCCTCCCCCCGCCCACCCCGCGCGCCGAGCACCCCCTCTCGTCGGCGCCGTCCATGCAGTCCTCCTGCGAGTCGCACACCCACGACAGCGGGATGCACACGCCTGCGGATAACACCCCAGCGTCACGAGCGACATTCATCGATTCTGAGTATTATTCATTTCAGGTAGATAGACCATGGCAACCAATAACACCTTTTTGACATTTACCTATAATTCCAAGTTATAACCCGCGTGAAGGAAGTGTATTCTTTAGTGTGATGCCACTACTGTTCCATGGTCGGTAACGGATAACCCGCGTGAAGTGGAAGTGTCATACTTCTGCGTTTCGTCTGGTTAAATGTAATAAAAAAACTACCATATTTGGGAAACCCCAGGTATCACAGATTTCCATGGGCGGCAGACATCATTTAAGATCAGATGAACCGTCTGTTTTTAAATTGTATCCACATTTTTAGGTTTCATAAACATTAAAATAAAATGCATCAATGGCACTTTCGTTGGAACTATACATAACTTAGCACATTGTCAATTGCCACTGATCGTCTTCGTCAACCGCCATTGATAGTCTCCGTTCCCTTCAGCTATAGTAGGGCCACAAAACTATCACTCACCCGGCGAGCAGGTGAATCTGTTCTTGCCGCACTTCTGCCTGGCCGCGTCGTGCCGTCCGGCCGGCTTGGGCTCGGCGCGCCGCTCGCCGCACGCCACCTCGTCCGAGTTGTCGCCGCAGTCGTCGATGCCGTCGCACCGCCACCAGTAGGGCAGGCAGTTGCCGTTGTCGCACTTTATCATCCAGTCGAGGCACGAGCCGTTGGCGGGGAACTCGAACGGCCTCTCGGTGGTGGGGCGCGGGATCAGCTTCGAGTGGCCGATGGTGGTGCAGTTCCTCTCGTCGGATGACTCCACGTCGCTGCAGTCGTTCTCGCCGTCGCAAACCTGCGGCGGAGCGATTAGGATCACCATTATGATAATGGGGTGGAGCAGGGCCGTATTTAGGGGAGGGCAACCGGGCAAGGGGCCTCCACAAACGAGGGGTCCCACAATAGGCTTCAAAAAAAATTTCAAATTCATACTGGTAAACAGAAGTAAACAACTTTTCCTTTCATATTTTTTTCGCGTTTTACTTTTAGCTAATATGATAACATTAAATAATAACAGAAGTCAATAGAAAATAAATTGGGCCAAGGGGCCCAAGGCCACAAGGCCACTCCTTTGTTGCCCCGAGGTCTTCAGACCTCTAAATCTGGCCCTGGGGCGGGGCATCACCACCTAGTTTAAGTAATGCCATACGCGGTGTTACTCAAACTAGGTAGCGAAAAATGCAAATCTTGGTCGCAATCCTGCGGCGGAGCAGTTTGGGTCGATATTATCGTCCTGCCCTTATTGAAACTAGATATTGTGTTTGCTCCGACCAGTTGTCCGCCTGACGATAAACCTTCTTTGGGAACGGATGCCCAAATCCAGGACAATTATCCATGGGTCACAAATTGCTGTTCCCCGCGGGAATCAAACCCACGACTTAAGTGTGATGCTTATTAAAATTTTACATAAATGACATCGTAAGAGTGTAGATGTCGAAGGGATGAAGGTGTGTTTGAATTAAACCAGGAAACAGAAGAACAGATTTCTGAAACCTTCTGGGTGTATTGAGTACTCGTTCTTTGAAGACAGACAGGAAGAAGGAAGAGAACATTGAAGGGCTACATGCAGGAGCTGTCGTTCGCATAAAAAGCAAATTTGTATTAGTTTCGCTACTTGGTTTCATAAAAGGAAAACGAGCCGCTCCTCTAGGCCTTGAAAATGCACAAAACACAAACGAATCGGGAACCTTTCTTTGAAGCCGTTTGATAAAAATTCAAAAAAAAAAAAAAAAGAAAAGCCGCTCACCCAGGCCTTGAATATGCACTTGCCGCTGGGGCAGCGGAACATGTACGGGGCGCAGGTGGAGTTCTTGCAGCGCTCGGGCTGCTCGTCCTCGCCGCCCGGACAGTCGCCCTCGCCGTCGCACACCCACGAGTTGGGGATGCACAGGCCGCCGCCGCCGCACGGGAAGCTGTTCGACGAGCAGTTCAGCGTGTTCGGCCGCTTCACTTGCACCTGCGAGTCCGTGTTCACTCGAATGGGAGTTTCGTGATAGATTATATTGTGAGTTGTTATCTCGTTGTTTGTTCAATGGTGGACCAAACAGCTTTGTCTCAACTTTTTACCTAAAGTCCATCAACGTAGTAAGCATTAAAATATACTGCGTCAGGCAGTCAGTTCACGTTCAGTAATCAAGCAAACCACGCGTTCTCAAATTTCTCAAATTGGCTGTCAAAACAATGTTTTAGAATGTCTCTAAATACGATTTCTTTATGTTTAAGAATATAATCGATCATAGTTTGAAAATGGCAGTTACGAAATTTTACTGTAGTAGGTACACGCAGCAGCCTCTACTATTCTGCGAATATTTCTCGGGCTCGCAGAAGACCACCACTGTGTGAAGTGTCATGTGAAGTGTCTTTGCGTTACGTACTGCGTACTTGTTAGTGAAGTAATCGGACCCACTCAGTCCTGTTAGCAATCCATCTCCAACCCCACAAGTATTGTAGATTTCCATAGACGGGCTAATCACTTAGCATCAAGTAGCAAGCGCTTACGTCGAAACGTCGCAAATGAACATTTTCACATAAAAAAAGGATTAAAATAACCGTGGTAAACCGTAGTAGGGCACGCCTCGACTGTTGCACGAATGGGCTGGCTCGTCCGGGTAAGTAACACGACCTCACAGAAGACCGGTTTGAAGTGGAAGTATATACTTTCTCGTTCCGTTTGGTGAGTGAGGTAGCCGGAGCTCAATTTTCAAAAAGGTTGTCAACGCATCTGCAAACCCTCGGGCCTAGCAGATGTCCTTGGGCGGTGGTGTTCACTTAACATCGGGTAAACCGCCTACTCGCTTGAAAACTTTTCACATAAAAAAAAAATTATATCTCAAACAATCAATTGTGACACGACGGATATTATGCAATTTTTATCTGCTTCTATGTGAATTTATTTTAAGTCGACAAATTCCACGAAAATTTAGGAAAATTTCATTAATTACCGAACAATTGCGTTCATCGGAGCCGTCCTTGCAATCGTTGTCGCCGTCGCACAACCACCTCTTGTCAACGCAGTTCCCGTTGCTGCATTGGAACTCGTTCTCGGTGCAGTTGTACCTCCCGCAATCTGTAACAACGATCCGGATGTGAATCAGAGTTGATTGAATGAATCGACGAAAGGAAACTATGTGCTGCAAGCCACAAAAAGCTGTAATTATATACCCTATAAGTAAACGACTCGCTCGTTTGCAACCTTCCTTTATACAGCGAGAAATAGTGATGAAACTGATACTTTTATCAGCCTATACATATCCCACAGCTGGACAAACGCCTCCTCTGTACGGAGGGTATCACGGCATAGTCCACCACGCGGCCCCACTGTGGATTGGCGGACTTCACATATCTTCGAAATATTTTTTTTATTATTATTTCGAAAATATGCAGGTTTCCTCACGATGTTTTCCTTCACCGCTGAGCACGTGATAATTCAGCACTTGAAATTAACGCCACCGGGGATCGAACTCAGGCCGCACGAGTATTGAATTAAAACCGGACAACATGCGCGATTTTCAAGGCATTTCCTGCCTCGCACAACCACTCTGTGGAACCAGCTGCCGCCGGCGGTCTTTCCAAAACGTTAGGACCTGGGAACCTTCAAGAAGAGACCATACTCTTTCCTAAAAGGCCGGCAACGCATTTGTAAGCCCTCTGGTGTTGCAGATGTCCATGGCCGGCGGTGCTCACTCACCATCTTGCGAGCCTCATGCCGCTTTTTTCCCATTAAAAAAAAATCACCGCGAAGCAGGGTCGGTAGGAGAGGTGAGGCAAGGAAAAAGGGAAGAGAATCACCCTTCTCGTCGCTCATGTCGGCGCAGTCGACGTCACCGTCGCAGCGCCACTGCGGCAGGTAACAGCTCGAGTCGTCGCAGGCGACGCGCGGCGGGGCGCACGCGCACCCCGCCTCGTCCGAGCCGTCGCCGCAGTCGTCGTTGCCGTCGCAGCGCCACGAGAGCGCGATGCACATGTCGTTCTTGCACGAGAACTGATCCTATCGCAAGGGCATAAGGACCGTATTACATTGTACGTTGATTTGTCTTCGCGAAGTCAAACGACGCGCATGTCGTTGCACGAGAATTGATTCTATATTACATTAGATGTTGATTTGTCTTAGCGAAGTCGCGATTCACGTGTCGTTATTGCACGAGAACTGATCCTATCGCGAGGACAAAAGGACTATATTCGATGGATGGAGGATGTTGTCTTAGAGAAGTCAAGCGACACGCGTGTCGTTGTTGCACGAAAAACGATCCTATCGCCGAGGTGCATATTGTCTTCGTTCTTTGTATAGATATCATACATCTATCATGAAATATGGAAAATTAATCATATAAGGCGTGTTAAAAATATATATATATAAGAACAATTGGAAGTTATGTAACATAATGTAAACAGCGTACTATATTAATTCTTGAACAATTAATTCAAGCATGTTATAGGTACATAGATCCAAAGAAAAAAGTATGTTTTTTTTTATAAAACAAAATGTGCGTGCTAAGAACATACCGATGCGCAGGTCGCTCCCGGCGTCTTGGGGCAGGTGAAGTTAGCGTAGGGCTCGACGAAGTTGGGGCACAGACATTTGCCGTGGGCCTTCACGAAGCCGTCGGGGCAGAGGCAGCTGAACGTGTTGCCCGGCCCGCCCAAGCAAAGGGCGTCGCAGCTCGTGTTCTTGTACGAGCACGCGTTGCTCCCGTGCTGTATGAAGTGGGCGAACACCTTGAGACCCATCAGGCCGGAGAAGGAGCCGTTGATCGTGATCACGTTCTGGCCGTTGTCCTTGTCCGCTATGAAGATGGACTTCGCCTTCCAGTCGTCCCAGTACATCTGGTCCTTTAGTACGGCCACCGCGAACGGGTGGGACACCTTCTCGTCGTTCCACAGGATCTTCTTGAAGTACTGCCCGTGCAGGTCCGCGCTGGCTATGTAGTCCTCCATCGCGTCGACCCAGTAGATCCTCTCGGACATCTGGTCGATAGTTATGCCGTTGGGCCATTGCACGATCGGTTTCTCGAACAGCCGCACGATGTCTGTCCCGTCGAGGTTGGAGCGTGACACGGACGGCTTGTTCCTGTCCCAGTCGGTCCAAAAGAGGTATCCCGCTTTCGGGTGCACGGCGATGCCCCTGGGCTTTGACAGCACATCGGGTCCCAGGATCGTCACGCGCATCCTGCCTTCGCTGGACAAGTCCGTGCGCACCGCCTCGATTTTCTTCCGCATGCCGTCGACGAAGAAGAGAACGTTGGAGATCCAGTCCAGCGCCATTCCCTCTATGCTGGCGAGGTCCGTGTCGACGACGACGTCCTGAGCGATGCCTTCGCCGAAGCACTGTCTGCTGATCTTGTCCAACACGATGTCCGCCCAGTATATGCAATTGTTCTTCATGTCAAACTCTATGGCAACGATGTTCTCCTGGTCCTTTATCGGGAATATGGTGGTGTTGTCCGATAGGTCGATGCGCGCTATTTTGTCCCTCAGGGCGACCAGTAGGAACTCGGTGGGCTCGTCCAACGGACAGGGGATCACGTCCGGTTCGTAGGGCAGATATCCGGAGGTTGTGCAAACGTCCCCGTCGATTTTCCTATAGCCCTTCGTCCGCTGGTAGAACTGTCCCGGACTACATTTAGGGGGATCGCGTACGGGTCGTACTTAGAGGTCTTATTACGTACGCACACGTTGCGCGACAAAACGAAGCCAAAGTCGCATTCGAAATCCCTTCTGCCGCACTCGCAAACCTCCTTCTTAACGGGCCCGTCGTAGTCCAGGCCGTTGAAGCAGTTAGTGTGAGCGAGCCGCCGTTGGAAAATGTCCCTTGTGCCCAACACGCAGGACACAGAGCTGTTTGGCTGCGACGGCGACCAATACTTGTAGTCGTCCGTACTGCAGTTGCGGGCGAAGGCGTTTTGCAGATCGATGGTTATGATTATCCACTGGTGCTGGTCGTTTGCCGACCCGAACATAGTAAAGACGGTGGTATTTTCTCCTGGCTCGGTCATTAAGCCGTAGATGCGAAGGTCGTCGGCGTTAAATCTATAACAATATTTAAAAAAATACAACATTTTTGTACAGTGGGCAAAACAATGTAATTTAACAAGATGGATTTAAAATGAGAAAAAAACCTTAGTGGTCTGTTTGAAATTTTTATTTTATACGACTACTAATCTCAGCACTTAAGAAGAAAAATTTAAATTTGTATAAAATATTTTTTGTGCTATGTAAAATTTAAATTTCGAATGGCAATGGCGACATTTCTCGTTTGAATTATCGTTGTAAAACGATAATTGAAATTATTTGTCTGCTGTAAAAGTAAGATAACAAGGTACGATAAAAATAAAAGTAAAAAACAAAGGTAAGATAAAAATAGAAGCACCTGACATTACTTTGAAAGCAAAAAAACAATGTAGATAAAATACGTTGAGATTTTCGTCGATTTGGCTATCAGCTGTTTAACTTAGTGGTTAAAGCGACTGGGCGCGAATCCGGAGTATATGGGTTCGATACCCTCAGCGGCGAATATCTCTTCGTCCATTTTTTTTTTACAAATTTCATAATTAATCTAGACAAGAAATCATACCGAGTCCTATTATTATTAGGAGCTTTATTAAGAATTAACACCAATTTGAACTTGTTTACCGCATTATGCGATGCGAATGAATGATGAAATGAGGAAATGCTAATAAACACTAGTGTGATTACAAGTTAGTACATATATGACCGACGTTAAATGAAACATTATAAAAATCATGGAGTAATAATTTGTAAGAATGTAAGCGCCAATTACTGCTAAGTGTGGATCGACTTCAATGATCAGTTCTTGTACATCGTGTTATATAAAAATTACGTTAAATTAACCAATAATTAGAATAAAAATACTCACTGGTAAGAGTTCCACTCGATCCCTTCGTTAGTCGAGTAGAGTATCTCCCTCGTCTCACTCATCAGCTTGAAGTACTTCACCGCCACCAGCACGCCACCGTGGTCTCCGTAATTGAAGAAGTAATAGTCCTTCAGGATGCGTTTCCACGTGAGTCCCGCGTCCCGGCTCAAATACACGCCCGGTATGCCTTTCAAGGAGCGGCCCACAACGCCAGTCGCCATTATAATGCCGGGCGCTGACTTGGAGCTCATAATGCTCGCCGATCTGAATAACGAATTTGGGCCACCTTTTGATTAGATGTAAATAAATAAATATATTAGGACACATTTTTACACAACGTAACTACTTTTCTTTTGTAAATAAATACATATTATACATATATAAACACACAGACTCTAGAAAAACACTATGTTCATCACACAATATTTTTCCAGTAGTGGGGATCGGACCCACACCCTTTGACGCAGAAGGCAGGTACACTACCCACTACGCCATTCGGGTCGTTAAATAAAAATTTTAGACTAAAGCCAAATCAGCAGTGGACTCAACAGGCTGAATTGAGGATGAAGATACAACTCTACAATTGATACAAGACTACAGAACTCAATGAGACTATCGCGATACTTTCTAAAGAATCTATAGATCTGTGATGTAATGGTGACAAAGTGCAAATTACGAAAACCCTTATCATGAATGAACATTATTTGGATGGTTGTCAGTTCGAATCGATCTCAACGATACACGCCCAAGATAAAAACCCCATGCATTGTGCTAAAGATATCTAAGGCAAAATTCTACAAAACTAATAAATACATTACATTCTCCGCTACTCTAAGTGTTTACCTCATAGCATTGCTTATCACATTTCCAGGCGGGCTGTAAATAAAGGTCAATTTATATACAAACGATCAATAATTAAATAACAACGAAACAGTTAACAGGAATAGTAGAATTTTGAAAACTAAAAGTAGAATTTAGTAATTCTGTTCGATTACATCTTTTGTGTAAGTGCTTTACTTTAAATAAAGACTTCATTGCAAATAACCCTAGCAGTGGTAGAGCCTGCCTGAACGCATCTGCAACCCCACAGGTGTTGCACCTCACACAAAAAAATCAAATGATTGATTAAAAATGTAACCTAATCTATACTTGAATACAACAGAAAGTCGTATTAAAATCTTAATTGCATGAAAGGCCAGGGATAATAGTGGCACTATGAAATGTCATTGGTTTCAATGTAATTTACAATGTTGGTTTCTTTAAATTAGAATTGGTTTATTTAAACTTAACGACTGCCATTTCACATTTTTTTTATCGACATACAGAGGAAACAGCCTACACGCAGCCAATATATAACCTTCAACGCCGTACAACTTCCGGAAACAAAAGAGTCGTTGTTTTACGCACGGTAAGATTTTTTTTAAATTGCAACTCCATTGAGATTCTAATTTGGAACGCAAGCCCAACGCTCTAACGACAATTACACGTGGTGAGTAGGCATGAATCGGATTGTTTTCGACTAATAAAAAAATATTACATTATTACTATCGTCCGATGTCGGCAACACTACATCGTTATCTTCATATACTTTCACTTACTACTACTTTTGTTACTATTTTACTACATTTGTAGAAGAAGAAAAACTTTGAACCAACCAACAAAAGATTAATGTAACAAAAGTATTTAAAAGAGAATAGTAAACTATTTTAACGGGAATTTCATTTTCATTCACCTGTTTTTCTTATTAAATATTTTTCCTGTATACAACAACGGCAAGTAAATTCTCGCCCACGTGTCAAGTTCATGACGATAACGTTACTTTGAAGGCGATAATTAAATTATTCCTCGACAGTACTCACAAGTCGAGTTTGATGACCGCTGTAACATTTCTATATCATTTACCTATTTTATTGATGTTCCTAGGTCCTAGGGCAATGAGGCTCAGTTATTTCATGTTTGAGAGAAATATGGGATGAAATTTTTATTAGATTCATTGGTATCATCATAAACTTGAACATTCGTCATAGCTTAAGTCCTTAAAGAATTTTTTATACAGTGTTAATATAAAAATATTTGGTGGAGAGTATACCTACTTTCAACCTTTTTATTTACTATGCATCCTTATTCAACGTTATAGTTTTCAACTTCATAAGCTCAATTTTTAGCTACTGATATCCAAGGTAAAAATATTCTACAATCCTTGACATTTTACATTAAAAATAAACTTCGATCGTGTTGCGCTGTTTGATATTTATAATAAATATTACGAATAGTTACGCCAGACTTAGTTGAGCTAAATGCGACGACGTTATCTAAACGATATACAAAGTCAATATTAATGACCCTCTTTGACCGAGATGTATATACTAGACGAAGTGACCAATTTCTACGAACACAATCGTAGAAATAATTCCGGGTATCGCAAGTTTGATTCTGGGCGGGAGCACAACTGGAATTAATGTTGATTTCTTGTGCTTGGAATAAAAGACAAATTTATAATTTCAACATATGCTATATGGTATGAACAAAAATAAATGAACACAATGCAATATATAGTACTATTAATGTATATTATTGTAACATAATTCCCTATATGATATAACTTTGCAAAGACATCAAAATCTTGCCCGAGACAAAACCTCATTACCTCATTGGACAGAAAACAAAAAGAGATTTAATAATATATAAGAAATAAAAATAGTAAAAGTAACTATCAATAGACGCTATTAATAAATAAAAAGAAATGAGACGAAATAAGGCAAATACAAAAAAACATCATTTGTTTCTCCATTTCATTTTGTGAGACAATATATAATTTTCAGATATTGTTAAAAATGAGCTATTCACACCCACCTTGTAACAGGATAGAGCTGACTAAACTTCTGGCATAAATGCAAACTGCACGATTTCTCGCTGTCATTAGGGTCCACACAGCTGAGGGGTTTTCCTGGAAAGGAACACGTACATTAACGCCCGGTTTCCGAAACACTGATCATGGTAGAAGTTAGCTAATCAGCCGTCAAATGGCTTGTCAAATGTCATTTGAGTTGCCAAAAGGATGCTTAAACTCTTTGAATTGATCATTCTGATAAATTCAGAGAGAGAGTTTAACCATTCTGACTTAAATTCAGAGAAAAGCCAGTTTAACCTACGATGATCCTTCTAGCTACCGGGCTAAGTAAAACAACATTTGAAAAAAATCCATTTTGTCAGACATTATCATATCTGATTAGTGCACAACTTCTACGATCAGTCGAAAAAAGTCCTTGTTTCAAATATTAACTACAATAGGGGCGTATTGTACGTGGTATCGCATTACAGATAAGCGCAATAGCACATAATAGCTCCTTATTGAATTATCAGAGAAAAATGGAAGGTTAACACAACGTTAGTTACACCGAGTTTGGCCGCGGCAAAAGGAGTCACATATTAGGCATTTACGTTTTTCTACTGTAGAACGGGTACGCTAATATATGATACTGTTAGCAAGCTGTCCGAAATTACAATAACTCGTAATACTATTAGATAGGTAGTCATTTTTGGTCGTACTATCTGCTGAAATAGTATTAGGAGATAACAATATCCCGTAATAATAGCGGATAGATATTTTTTTTTAATTTTTACTGCTAGTCTGCACTTAGTGTAATGTAACTTTGAAATATTTCGATAAAACTCTAGCAACATTTTTCGCCGCTAATACGCGTCCAGACGCTCTGTCTATCGTAATATATCTCGTAATACTATTTCTAATATCTTGCCCGAGACTTTGTTTATTACTTGTTGTAGATCACAGAGCAAATTGACATACTGAATAAGTTAATTACCATCTAAGGCTTCATCGTAACTCGCGATCAGAAATCTATTTAGCACTCACGACTATAATTAAATTAAATGTTTATTTTCTCAGAAGCTATGAAATTTCAATTCTTATAGTGACAATCTGTACACTTAAGATTAAATATAAAAATTTGTAAAAAAAAAGAAAAGACGAAAACTTTTTAAAAATATACAATACTCGAACGTCGCCGAGCAATCAAATTTATAAATAGATTAAAATGGTTACAAAGCTATGATAACTAGTAGTCTGGAACATTCTAGACAAGGGAACGTCAGCTCATTAGACGTCGCGTTCAATGACACTGCACTTGATTGTAATCTTAGCCCAGTTACTCATTGGGTGCATTAAATTTGCGCTTATTTAAGCTACACAGTTACATGTTTAAATTAGAGCCAAAATTAAAAAAAATAAATAAAGAACGCAGGCATGCAAACTTCAAAAGTATTGTTCCTTTAGTTTTTAAATGCATCTTTACAAATATATAAATTTGAAGTGTCTTATTCGTAGTGCCATAAATAACAACTTTTAACTGCAATGTTTACGCGGCATACGAAAAAAATTATTACAAAATTTTGATAGGTCAGTGTCCGGCCGCTCGCTTTTAATTCAATATACTCGAGCAACCTGAGTTCAAATCCCGATGCCGGCGACAATGAATGTGTTAATTGCAATTTTAAATGCTGACTCATCACGTGCTCTACTGTGAAAGAAAACATCGTGCGGAAACCTACATATATCCGAAATAGTATTACGAAAAAGATATTTCGAAGATATGTGAGGTGTGCCAATCCACGGTTGGAGTCGCGTGGCCTTATGCCTAGCAGCAGACCGTATAAAGGTAATAATAGTATATGTGCTTATGCAAGCACGTAAGAAGTTAGAATACATCTTTGGCGTAAAGACGTTTTAAATAAATTGGAATAATTGGTAAATGTCAAAAACTTGTTATCGGTTGCCAAGATTTAATTGGTTCACAAGCATCAGGTCGCTTTTTGAGGGTCAAAATTTTACTTTCATAATTTCTCCAAACGCGCCAAGAGTTAGAAGTGTAACTTCAAAATTTTCTACTTGTCTAAAGGAAAAATAAATAGAGATATTTTTCCGAGTAGAAAAATACTGAAACTCACCATTCTCGTCCTCCGCCGGCGGTTTGATGGGCGACCAGGTGACTCCATGGTCGAAGGTAATCAGAGAAACGAGATGCTCGGGCTCGATGTTGGCTATCAGCGACTTCGAATTCACCTTTGACGCAATGTAGATACCCTTGAGGCCCTCGACGCGGTACAAATCCGTGAAAGCGTCCTCCGTCACGTCCCTGATGAACAAAAATGGCCGATCTTAACCACCTCTTTTTTATGTGAAAAAGTGGCAAACGAGCTCACGGTTCACCTGATTTTAAGTGTTAACCGTCGCCTTTAGACATTTTCAACACCCTTAGGGTTGCAAATGCATTGCCGCCTTTAAATAAAGTGGGCCCCGGCTACCACCTCACTAACCACACGTTGGAACGTGGAAGTGTAACACTTCTACTTTACGCTGGTCTTCTGTGAGGTCGTGGTACTTCTCCGGACGGACCTGCCCATTCGTGCAACAGTGAACACTGTTGCGTGGCCTTACACAGTAACCTCTACCTCTACCTATTGAAAGTAGGGAGAGCAAAAACGTGCCTGATGAATAACTTAAAAGTATAGAGAGGAAAAACAATATACTTTAAAAACGATTTTCATTCTCTAATAAAGTGAACAAAAAACCGATGTATAGACTTTCGTGCCGCAAGGATATCGTTTACTTAGTTGGCCAAAGCAATGGTTCTCAAAGTGGGCGATACCGCCCATTGCGGTTTATTGAAATTCCAAATAACATTGGGGGCGCTAAATAAAATTCCGTGGACGATGGAAAGTATAACGGCACACACTGTCATTACATAAAACAGCCGAATTATTTCCCTATATATTTCTATAAAAAAAATTAGGTGAAGAATGTCTCGGGGGCGTTGGGTGTTAAATTTATCCTTAAGTAGCTACAGGCGAAACAGCAAAAAGTTTGAGAAACAATTGGCGAACACAGAGCGTCTGGACGGTATACGCCGAAGACGCGCGGACTAATACTAGGACAATTTATCCATTAAACTCTCAGCTAATAAAATGAATGCTCAAAACATCTAAATACAGATGTAACCCAGATGGAACAGAATAGAAAAAAAGATCAAAGCTGAAGTGATGAGCCATTACGCCAATCACTTTTCATCATCATCGTTTCAACCTAATGAACGTAGCGTTCTGGCCAATTCACTTTTAGTATCATTAATTCTTGAAATCTTTTATAATGAGCATTATTTTAAAACACGGGTATTAAAATTTAAATTCAAAAATCTTTATTCAATGCAGAAGCATTACACTAACTTATTGTTTATCAAAATAAAAATATTACTAAATAAAAATACTACTACTCGACGGGGCATTTTTTTACAAAGAAACTATATAGTTCGTAACGTTTCATTATTTTTTTATCTCGTACGATAGTTATAAAACCGTCGACTATTATCTCGAATTACAACAGTAATGAACTTGACATGAATGAACCTGGCATCTCACACGCGGTGGTATCGGACAGTATTATGTAAAAAAAAATGCTATCTTCATAGACCGGTTAATAAACCCGAACTAAGTAATGTCTTTTTCAGTCAACTTCTTCTGTGAAAGATAAACTACGGAAGCAAATATCCGTATCCCGAATTGAGACGGTTAGAGATCGATCCACTTAAAATTAAACTAATCCTAACATTTCAGAGAAGGGGGAGAGTTAGCTTGTGGTTCACCTGATATCAAGTGATAACCGCCGCCCATGGACATTTTCAACACCCGTAGGGTTGTAGATGGCAACTTTTTATAAAGCAGGCCTCAATTACCTAACTCACAAGACGAAACGCAGAAGTATAACATTTCTTTTTACGCCAGTCCCCTATGAGGTCCTCCTTGGAGGGACCTGCCCATTCCTGCACAGTCACTTACCCTCACAGTTCAGACAACCACGTAACAGAAGAGACAGAATACATAATAGAAGCTTTTCTGTCCATGAAAGTAATCTCTACTTTTGTAATAACATTAAGTAGACTTTATGAAACAAAATTAGATGACCTTTCAATAAAAGACACGGCCACGTAGTTGAATGGCCTTTCAATTGAATCACCTTAAAAAATAATAATAAGTGGTTAACCATGACCACTTTAGCCGCGATTAACAGTGTAATGTCTAAATAAAATCCTTTGGAGTGCCAGGTTTTATACGGCACATAATAGTGCATATGGTAACTTTATATTGCGAAATATGCTATGTTTGTAGTCATTAATGTAGTTTAGTTTCGGGTAGCTAAAATAAAAATAAATAGATACGTTTTCAACTAAGTTTTATTTTAAAAAAATATTTATTATTTCTTCTGTTCTGTCTTTTATGTTGGATTATACAATTCATAGTAATTTATTATATTTCATTGAGATTAACATATGGGTTAGTACTCACTCCAGCCAGCTGTCCTTCCAGTTTCCTTGGGGGAAGTAGCACAGAACCTGTTCTAAACTCAACACGAAGTTGTACTGATCAAAGTTGCTGCTAATCTCGGAGACATAGAGGTTCACCAGGTTTTCCGTGTGCATGACAGAGATGAATATACGCTTGTCCGTCACGTCGGCAATGTGGAACTTCTTCCTGTCCAATTCCGTTTGAAATTCGGCTCTATGGAAAGGACCTCTTTGGTGTGAAATGTAAAGATCCAAGGTGCTGTTCTAGAAATATAAAAAAAGATAATTAATATTTCCACCTTATTAGTTTCAGTCGCTTGTGAAAATAAGTTCCATATTGTACGTATCACTTTTCCAATGTTATTTATTCACATCGTGTTGAATAAAAATTTTAATAATATCGATGACCAAGCATAGACAATTGCTTCTGAACTGGATATTTATTAATGTGAAATCTATGTTTGTAAAACTTCCTTAAAACACAGAATAATGTTTGTAAGGGCAATGTTTTTGAGAAGAAATGTAAAAATAAAAAGGAATTAGAAAACCCCGATAACTTTAAGCGATGATAAAGTGCTTTTTCCGTATCAATGTACTACGATAAAGTAAATACAAGCTCCCGAAAATTCTGACTCTGGTGTTGAAGGCAATAGCAACCATATTACGCAGCATATTTTATGATATTTTTAAAACTACTGGTGCTCGCCATCGAGATTTGAACCCGTTATCGCATAATCGCAAACCGCACCCATTCTTCCAATCATCAACATAGCCCACAGCGACTAATTATTGTAACATGACAGTTAATAAATAAAGATTACTATGGCATACATACATTCTTGTACGAGCTAATTACAATGTTAAATACTAATATCTATGAAATAATAAATATTCATGTGAAGTAAAGGAATATAATTGAGAATATAGCATTAATTTTCAGATTACGCATTAAGAAATGTAGTCATTATAGCGGTATAGACCGCTACATATTTTTTTATTATTATGATCACAAAACGAATATGTAACAAATATCCACGTACATTGTATATATGTATATGCCATTGGTAAATTTTAAAATCACATTAACTTCGACCTTAAAATGTGCATTAACGCATTTTTAAATGCGTTGTTCCAACTTGTTTAAATTCACATATGCATATAATTATACGAATGATTATTATCTATCCGAGCAGAACGCTTCGTTTTTTTATATATTGCACCACAACATTTCATCAGGTTGTATATCTTTGTATAAATAGTTTTTAGCATAAATAAAGACCCCTGTGACTCAGTGATTGATATGATGCCGAAAATGTGGTGTCTTCTTCGGCCAATTGAATTTCTTTGCCAAACCAGTCGCGTTACAATAACATTATGATAGCATAGTTTAATGTTAATTATGTCTAAAAGGAAGAAGTAACGTCACACGATAAGATAGGGCATTATCGCTAGATAATATAGGTAAATAAGCTACGTCGCGATCAAACAATTCGTGGTTCCTGTTATTGATTAATTAATAATTCTGTATATTATTGATTATGAACGGGAAATTAAGTACTAATTGAAGGGGTGGAAAGCGAGCTGTAACAAAGTTTTGGACGAAGTGATAGAAAATCATAAGTACCTAAGAAAAGATGAACATAACAAGAAACAAGAAATTACTTTAAAAAACTTTTAAATTAAACGGTTTTATTTTATGTTTTTTTTTTTTTGGTAATTTTTTTTTGTTAATACTGTATTGTATGTCTAAATTAAATGTGTGTACCAAATTTCAGATCAATCTGACAACGGCAAGGTGCTTAAATTTCAATTTCTAATTTTGACCCAAATAAATAAACAAACAAATTCCGTACGGGTCGAGCTAAATAAAACCGTTTAAAAATAGCTCAAGCTGGGAGCTTTCAAAAAACGTACTCCTCGATTTATATCTTATTATATATAAATAACTATTGGATCGACATTGGCTAGTAAGGAACCTCCAAGAATTTAACAGAAAATCAGTACACAGCCATGGGTTATCTCTTTGTTGATATTTAACACCCCAACCCTACACGGTTACTTGACACAATATAGTCAACAAGAAAATAAAAGTATGAGTTAATAACAACTTTTAAGCCTTTTATGATTTTTTTCTTTAATGATTTTTGTATGAGCATTTTATTTCTATACAGTCCAAAAAGATCGAACCAAAATGATGTAGATTTCGACGAAACCAATAATTTTACGGTTGAGTTGTTGAATCAATTTCCAAATTCAAAATCTAAATGTCATTAAAATATTGATTTAATGAAATTTAAATCAGTTGTTTTAAGCAAACATACCCCAATTTTTATGCATATATTTGGAAGGAGTTTTTATCTGCAAAACTATACGGCCATGAAGAAAACAGCTTTAAATGCGCAGGTATCACAATAACGTATACAAAGCCTGTTCATTTGAATTCAGAAATCGAAAGAAGAAATTCTCTCATAATAAAACGTAAACAATAACCAAATATTTCGTAGAAAGTCGGGGGGTAATTATGGAAGAACGTTACGAAACAAACCTAAACTTCATATATTACGTTTTAAGACAACTTTCTCCGCTATTCTTTTGCGCCCGAGAATGTCGCAATATAGAATTAAAACATTGCAGCTATATCGACTTTTTTCACGCTATAATATCGTTAAACGAAATATGCAACCATTGACATAAATTGAGCGTGTCATTTCATTTATGCATATTCCTAAGCCATATAAAGACGGTCAAAAACTAAAACAAGATGTCATATTCTTATATATAGATATTAGCATGGATCGTCTGTAGTAAAATATTGCATTTTATAAGATAAAAGACAGCATTAGTTAATTTAATTTAAATTAGCTACCATTGTCCTTTTTCTATCTATTTAATTAATACCTTTAAACGAGCAATTCTTGTATATATCGGAATCTCGAAAACGGCTTGAGCGATTTTCATGAAATTTAGTATGTGTGTAGATTCGGGGGCGAAAAATCGATCTAGCTAGGTTTCATTTTTAGAAAATGTCCTTTTATCCCTGTTTTCAGGGAATGAAATATATCATTCGAATACGACGGTAAATTTCGCCGAAAAAAAATGTTGTAATAGCTCGGTCGGTAATCGGGCGGCCCCAAAACAGAAGGCCGCGGTTCGTGTCACGATCATTTACACACTTATTTTTTTTTACTTTTTTTTTTTTAAACCAGATCATAGCTTTCTTTATTTTTTTTTAATTTTCAAAATACACGATTTACCAAAAAAAACCGAGCGAAGCAGTAGGTAGGTAAATAGCCAGTGGCGGATTTGCCCTAAGGCCCAATAGGCCCGGGCCTAGAGCGGCCATATAATAGGGGTGGCCAATCATGACAAAAAAATTCACTGATGATAACAAGATATTTGATGGGTGCCGAGAAAGGGGCGGCTGGAACTTACTACATGGGCTGGGGCCTAGGACGGCCAAGACTACAGATCCGCCACTGTAAATGGCAGATAAAACCAAATGGCAAAACTAAATAACAGTAATCGGTATAAAGGTATAAAGTACCTATATTGACGACTTCGAACTCTTTTAATATGCAATGGGTACGGTGCTAGTTCACGAGTATATTTAGTGGTCCTAGACGTCAAATTAATTTAGCCATAAATGTTTGAAAAACATCATCCTGATGAAGAATCCTATACTAAATAGTCCTAGAGCCATTGGATGGAAGCTTCGGTGTCGAAACTGTGCTGCGAAACTAATTTTTATCCGAATAACTTGCTTCACGGGTAGATAAAAGTATATTTTCATAGTTATTCTTTTTTTTATGTGAAAAGTTGCCAAGTGAGCAGGCAGTTCACATGAGGTTAAGTGAATAACACCGCCCATGGACATCTGCTTCACCCGAGGGCTGCAGATGCGTTGATAACTTTTTGGAAATATATGGCTCCGGCTACCCAACTCACGAGACGAAACGCGAAAGTATTATACTTCCACTTCACGCTGGTCTTCTGTGAGGTCGTGGTACTTACCCGGACGAGCCTGCCGACTGTTGCATGAATGGGATATGTCGGTGCCCACATTAGAAGGGTAGTGAATATAACCTGAGTATAATGCATTTAAACCAGCAGTATCTAATAATAACATATAATGTTTTATAAGAGATAGTCACTAAATAGTAACTAAAACCTACTTTTACGTAAATTAAATAAACTCCTCGATGAATATTGTATGCTATTATTACTGAAAATCATATCATAATAACATATCTAATTAAATGATTTTAAAACCTTTTTTTATTAAGAATTCCAATTCATTACATGACTTGAGGAAAAAAACTATTAACGTAATGGCTAAAAACTTGTAGACATTAATGTATAACATAATAATACAGCAAATCGACAGAAATTCTCGTCCTTATCGCCAAAAGGAGGAAAGTGCGAGTGTATGAGACTTTTTTGCAAACATTTACATAAAATGTAGGTATTTATGTGACTAAAATTTTAAAATAATAGTAACACCCACAAAACCCATAAATCAAGTAACTCATAATACATTCAGTCAAATAACGAAATAGCTTCTGTTGTATATTAACTAGGTTTACATGTAGAGGTACGAATAATCTTCAGAGAACAAATAAAAGGAGGCATACAAATAAATTTTCATGTAACAATATGGATGGGAGCAGTGAATAATTTATAATAGTATTAAAATAATTTTACTTTTTTTATGATTAAGCTTTGCATGCTTTTTTAATGAAATAATTTTATCTTTGCCACATAGTTTTCGGCAATCAAATAGAACTCCCTCCTCAAGATTTCGCCAAAACGTATCATCGAGTGGACAATTAGAGCATAGTATGCAGAAACGTGTCACTTTTCAGAACTGCCCACACAAAGTAATTGTCTATATCGTGTTACAAGTAATGTCGATGATTCACTGACGTTAGTCACTTGGGTTTCACAACATTACTGATATAAAACTTTAGGCTTTTTTGATGTTTACTAAATGAAACCAGATAATTCAAGGATTTTGTGGCATTTAAATGACTTCAGCCGTCTCTTGCCCACAAAAGCCTGCAGAATGCATTTAAAACTAGGCATAATAATTTTATTCACGGATACAAATGAAAAGAGCCGTGATAGCTCAGTGTCCGGGCGCTCGCCTTTAATTCAATATACTCCAGGAACCTGATTTCGATCCCCGGTGCCGGCACCAATGAAGTTTTTAACTTTAAGTGCTGAGTTATCACGTGCTCCGCGGTGAAGAAAAACATCGTGAGGAA